ACTGCTAAGAAATCATCTGCATCTGAGCCTACCAAGACGAAGACTAGAAAGAAGGCAAGAGAAGACCATGTCAGGAAAAGAAGCGGGTGTAAGACCTAGCTGGTAAGAAAATGCAACAGTTGGCACGCCCCATTCCATCTACCGACAGTGAGGATATTATCCTTATTTCAAGTATAGGGGAGTGGTGGCTAGTGTCGTGATCCTGTTTTTCCCTCTCGATCAATCAAATCATATCATACTTGTTGTGCTATTTTTTTAGTTTAATTAAAAGCCAATGACTGGCCTTTGAAAAAATCAAGACGAGTTCATGTATGATCTTCCTTCAGAAGACCCTTTGGAAAATCAATATGAGTTCTTTGGTGATCCTCTTGCAGCCAACCCTTAGCTAAATCAAGATGAGTTATTTAATGATCCTTCTATAAGATGTAATAGATTGCTCTATGGTATTTACCAAAGATGCAATGTTGTAATCCTTGAATTTGCAGGTTATTAGGATTCAATAGAAGATCCCAAATATAGAGTTGCAATGTAGGAGGAGCTTACCATGATTGATAAAAAAACAAACTTAGAAATGATTGTTTAGAACAAAGCTAAATGAAAATGGATCAATCAACAAGCGTAAAGTAAGGTTATAAATTAAAGGGTATGCTCAAATTTTTGGAGTATATTTCTTCAATACATTTGCTCGAGCTACAAGGCTAGATGCAATTAGGATGTTGTTAGTTATTGCATCACAAAAGAATGGAAAATATCTCATATTAATGTGAATTCAACATTCTTAAATGGATTTCTAGATGAATAAGTATATGTTAAGAAACTTGAAGGTTTTCTTGCAAAAGGGAATGAGGATAAGGTCTAAGTACTAAATAAGGTCATGTATGTGTTTAAACAAATGCCTAGAGCTTGTTACAACATGATTGATGAATACTTAATGAAATTAGGCTTTTCTAAAAGTCTTAGTGAATCCACATTATATATCAAAGGTGGTCAAGATAATTTTTTGGTGTTCTCTTTATATGTTGATGATTATTTGGTTACTAATAGCAGTGTTAAACTTATTCAATAGTTCAAGGATGACATGAAACAAGTCTTTGAGATTTTGGATTTGGGAGAAATGTCTTATTTCCTTGGTATGGTAGTTGAGCGGAAAAATGGTGATATCATTGTATATCAAATGAAGTATGCAAAGGAGATGATAAAGAAATTCGACATGGAGAACAATAATATCATGAGCACTCTTATGTGTCCAAAGGACAAAGTGTGCAAGGATGATGAGCTAGAAGAAGTTGATGAAACACTTTTGCTTACATATCTTACAAATACAAGACCATATGTGAAATTATATTTCTGAGAGGACAGATGTTAGACACAATGTTGGGACAACTGATCTAACTGGTTTAAGTCAAATAATAGATTTAGGGAACATATGTCAGTCACAATATCTAGGACATTGTACACCAGAAAACTATTTTTACTACCAAGTTATAACAACTTAACCTATACAAGATGATGAAGTATAAAAGTAGTAAAGAACACAAGAAATTGGTATACGAGTTTGGTGAAACCACACCTATGTCTGAAGGGAACTCTACCTAACAAAGGAAATTCACTACTTCAAATCAGTAAAATTAGTCTTATAGGAACACCAATCCCATGACATTCAATGCCTATTCCTAATCATAGTGAGTTTCTATTTAGGACTCCCCCTAAATATGATAACCCGTATCACTTTATCTCAATCACTAATCTCTAGTGATCAACTTAACCATTAACATAATAATTGTTGAATTTACAACTCAACTAAGACAAACCAACAAATATACCAAGTTAGTGAAGCAATAGTGTGGTGTATAAAAAAATCTTTATTCTCAAGCTTATGGAACAAAGTTTTACAACTCAACTAACAAACCAAAATCTATGCCTTAAGATATGAAAAGAGGCGCTAGAGTGGTGCACAAAAGTAACATAAGGAAAGACTCAAAAGATAAACCTAACATAAGGAATCTTCAAAACATGCATACCTCAAATGCGAGGTTTGAGTCTCCTTAAATAGAAATGTAATTCTAGGCTTTTCTCCTTTGGATTTCCGATATTATTTCGTCAAGAACAATATTAGATAGTGTTGGATTTAATTTGCTCCATAAAAATCTCCAACAAAAGACATGACTTATTATATCTCAAATTCAAATTTAAATTTGTTGAAAAAAATCTAAAGATAGTCAGAGCCCAAACCTTGTGCCAAGATTATACAATATCACATGTTGAGCCTCTGGCTTAACAAGTTATGTCAAGCACTCTAGCTATATGGTGAACCCCTTGCTTAACTGGTTCTGTCAAGCACTTTAGCTGAAAAACTCTTGATTAACTGGCTCTACCAATCACTTTAGTTGAACACCCTTCTTAGTAATAAACACAATCATAATAAGATGATGTAACACATGTTGAAACATCTTGTTCCACATGTTTCCAAAAATAGATATTGTATATATGTTGTTTTAGCTAATGTAGACCAACAAAAGGACTACAATCTTCCTCTTTAGAAAATTTTGGATAAAACAACCTACAATATGTGATCTTTATGAAGTAGAACAAGTAGCACACCATATCTTACATCAGAATCAACAGAGAAAACAAGAGCAGCAAAAGAAGCACATAAGTAAGTTAATTTCTACCCATCTTGAACATCAGCTCCAAACACAGAACATCATGCTGGAACATCTTAAACATCTTGTACCACAGGATCATTAACCCCTCTCTTTTGCCACAATTTGGAAAAGGTGTGGAAAGAGCCACAAACAAAACAGTAAGCTTTAGGATGCAAAACAGCAGTCGGTCAGACCATCAGACAGAGTAGTAGGAGCATAAATTAGTAGAAGAAAGTCATAAGACACAAGTTACTACACATAATAGCCAATTCTCCATAGTAGCTAGTCAAGCAATAAAATTATCAATCATGCATGAACACACAATTATTGGTTAAGTTATAATCAACAATATACACTACTAACACACAAATCAACCCATATTTCATTACCAAAAGTTAGGTTAAATGCTTAAGCATGTGGACACACACAAAACAAAAACAATTAGTACCCAACACATCTAGTAAAACCATTCACACCAGAGTTAGCAGCATAAATCATCTTGACACCACACAGTTAATAGAGTCAGTATTCAAAACAAACTAACATATACACCAAAGAAGCAGTGCGGCTACAACAGGTTGAGGTGAAACAAGTCCAACACTTCTCTACATAAATCCATATCATATTCATCAACTGGTACGTTGATGTTGGACACAATGTCAGAGAATTATTTCCCAACATTCACCTTGTAATTGATTCTCAACAACCCATGAGAAATACCAATATCCTTAACATCAATATCCTTTATTAACCTAAGGTAACAAGATCCAATATACAACACTGTCTTCAACAATTGATCATAACTATGAAGCTTCATAAACTCATTATACACCAGCGCTTCGACAACAGTTCTTATGCATCCTTATTTGTGTTTTCTTCTTCTTCCTTTGTTCCCTTTTCATTGTTTATAATCTTATCAATAGTTGAAAACTTGCTTTTGTCTAACCAATTAAAATTCAAAGGTGAAAACTTCACACATTTTCCTCTATCATATGCTTTTCTAAAAAAGTTTACTAGCTTCTCATAGCTATGACCATCATCAGTAACGGTCTTGATTAGCCCATCAGCTTTCATGATTTCTTTGTAATCAAAAGATTCTTCTCCTAGCTCTCTTTCAATTGCAATTCTTCTTTGAAGAACATACTTTCACTTTTGAGCACTTGTTTCATAATGGAATGACACATTATCCATGTGAGCAGATATGACATTCCCCCCAACATTTCTCTTTATGGTGGACACAAATTTATGAACATTTGCTTCAGTATCCGTCTCAGATTCACATGTTGGAACAAGCCTTCTATTCACTTTAGAATTGACAAGGGTGACTTTTTCACCCTTCCTCTGAGTTAGAAACCCAGTCACCAACATGTCATACGTGTTGTTTGGCACATCATGATTGACATCTTCAATTCCACCTTTGGTGATATATTTGAGCAGTTGGTTTCTCCACAACAGTTGAATACAACTACTTCCAGCATATATACTTTGGGAATCACATGTGTAGTTCTTCATTTGTTTTACTTTAAAAATAGAAAAGTAGGTAACATCTCCTACCATTCTCAACTCAACATCATAGGTGTAAAATGTTGGTTAATAAAGTGATGAAATTGGTTAACCAAACAATATTTTTTTAATTTAATTTTTTTTAGGATTAAGGAGGACCGATATAAAAGTTGTGTGATTAACCATCTTCATCACTTTATTAACCAATATTTTACACTTCATTAATCAACTTTATTTTACTACTAAAAATTATCTTAATATCTAAACGTTTATTAACTAGCTTTATCGCTTCATTAACCAACATTTTATACTTCATTAAACAACTTTATTTTACTACTAAAAAATTATTTTTAATATCTGAGTGTTTACTAATCAAACTATAAACTATATTGATTAACTTTTTACACTCAATTAATCAATTTTGTGTTATCATTCTTCACGGTATTTGTGAACAGTGAATATGAAGTAGGTGTAAAGAATAGTGTAGAAATAATATAACTGATAGGTTAAGGATAATCTAACGTTCATGATTTACTACATATTATCTTGATATTTTTTTTATTCTTAAATTTTGCCATTTTTATTGAAACTCCAACCTCTTTTCTTCTTTTTCTCTTCTTTCTTACACTATGAATCATCATTATTAATAGAAAATATGATTTTATATTGTCGATCTTGATCCAACGATGTAATCATGTAAAGGTATAATTGTACAACTCTAGACAATCACTTACCCTCATATTGGCCTTCTCTATATAAAGTCGCCAAGATTTACAAAAACATCACATATAGTTTAAGAGACAAAGAGTAAGTAAGAGAGGACAATACTTAACCTCCACATATCACACACACATGGCTTCACAACTTGTTAGTGATGTAAGATGTCAACCATTACTAATGCAGTATGCAGCTTCTTATGGTGAAAGAGGAAGCAAACAAAAACCATTTCGTCGCCAAAACTATGGTTATCGTCGAATAGAGAATAACATAATTTACCCTGAAGAAAGTGCCTTCAAAGAGCACAAAAATAAGAAAGAATCATCACATGAAAAGGGTGCAAAACGTAGCACAAATCTAGGTCAAGCACAGAAGCTTCAGAGGTTAGGATTCTCTTACCTTGCAACATCTTTTCTTTACATGGTAATTAAGGTTAAAGCATTGTACAAAGGTTTCATTGGAGATGTTGGTAGTGAATCAAGAATGGTGGGAATTGAAGCACCAGTGGCAGAGGCATATTTCTCAGTTCCAGTTCTACCAAATTAAGATAGCACCAATAATATAGGCAATATCATGTTTGTCCAAAAAGTATATATATTATGGTTACAATGATGTTTATATATATTACTAATATCAAATTTCAGCTCAACTATTGTAATTAATAACCTTAGATTTGCTAAAATGTTCCCTACTCTTGGAGTGAGATTGCATTTATAGGAAGTGGATAATTTTTATCCAGTGAAGCAATATTGTGTACAAGGGCATTTTCTATTGTACAAGTTCTATCATCATTCCTGTCAAAAAAAAAAAAAGTTCTATCATCATAATAAGTAAAGTTTGGATATCTAAACTGGTACATTTTCATTTTTACAACAATTTTCTCAAAAATGGTGTGCGACTTTTGACTGCAAGTCCTTGACAGCAATTTCCCCAAAATGCCATGCAACTTTTCAGATCAATTTTTCCCGAAACAATATGCAATTTTTTACAACAATTTCCTCCAAAATACTATGCAATTTTATACAGCAATCTTCACTAGTATGAAGACAGATTTAGTGTATGGGTGAATGCAACTAGAGATTCCAAATTACATCTCTTACGTAAGTGCATCTCTGGATTCTTTCTCGAGATGCATCTCCGGACATTTTTTGGGATGAAATAGAGGTGTCTCACTTATAACATCTTTGTTGGTGTGACTTTAGGTGCTCCCAAAGATTTATCTTCGGACACAACAAGGGTATTTTTTGAGGTGTGGGGCATCACATTTAAAGTTTTTGATACCAACCCATGGGATAAGAGTACCTGTAATCTTTCATAAGGGAAAAATGATATTTACCTTCCATCTAAAGACTAATGACATATAGCAAATCACCTATATTCTAAGCCTTTACGTAATGCCTTTAAGGGACATTTGATAGCTTAATGTTTCAATATCAAATACCTTATTAAGATATGAACATTGTATAGAGAATTTTGTTCTCAAGCTCTATGTTTTGTAAGATGTGTCTAGAACTCCAACAATATCTACACACTTCTTCAGAGACTTACTAGTTTAAGTGCTAAACGTTATTGATTGAAAAAGCAGATAACATTGCAACTTGCTGAACAGGTGGTCCCAGAGTTGAAACAAAAGGCTCTAATAACAGTACCTGAATTGGCCAGGGACCCCATTTCAATCTCTAATGAAAAGATATGATGGTTACAAGACATAAGAAACACTTAAATAGACATGGACGAGAGCCGTCCAAATTTGAGATAATTTAGTGCAAAGAGAGCTATGGAATAACAACCTTGATCCCAGTCAGATACCAGCAAAATAAGCTATTTTTCTTAGCGCATTTAGTTTACTGTTGCACATGTTCCAAAGCACGCCAACGCAATAAATGGTTGTCGTGTACTAACGGGCATTTGCTCTCTCCCAACATTAATCAAAACATGCTAAAAGTGTTGGGAGGCCGGAGCAACAATGGAACCAATGTTTCACGGACACGAGAGGAAAATATCACATCTTCATCCAAAAGCTTAAAACATTAGATATATTGGTCATCTCATAAATTCATCATTCTACCCATTTATAAACAGTGTGATACTAAACCACTGGCAATTGAGTATTCAACATGAAGTGCATGTTTGGATTGGTGGAAATCGTTACTTAGTCAATATCAACCTAAACATACACAAATCATTTTTACAATAATAACGTACAGAATAGCAATTCCAAACTCACAAGAAGATATAATACAAGTAGATAGAAAAAAAATTAGTGATACATACAATTTGACAAGAATTGGCAATAAAGTGCAAGTCATTTTCTTTGAGACATCAAATAAAATCACTATCATGGTCATCAATATCTGGCTGAACTGGCCAGTTTACCCAAATGGACCACATAACATCAAAAATTAATAACAAAGATTTACCGAAGAGTCTGGTAAGTGTGGTAAATACCAAGTGGAACATATCTGATAAGGACATCTGTTAACATACTTTAGTTTCAAGATCAACAGAAAGATTGGAAATTTGGAATATTTTACTTTGCCAATTTTTCTTAGAAGCTAAAAATAAAATAAAAAAATGAAAAAGCATTCACTTACACTCCAAAAATGTTTCTGCTACCAGAATAGTACATAACAGAGTTTATTGTCTAAAATCAATGAGATAATGTTACATAAATCAGAGGATAATAAAATTTTTGAACTGTCAAATTTGATATTATAATGGCTTTCTTTCTTCAAAACTGCAAAACTCCAACCTATGAAATTTCCGTCATGGAACAAAATATCCTACACTGTTTGCATTTTGGGGATAGTTCCCTTCTTGGCAAGTGGCTGTATTGAGTTCATGACCATGATAATACTTATTTTGCATTTCATCACTTAGACTTGCTCTCATCTTATTTCAAGAGTGACAAAGGAGAAATGACATAGAACATGAAAAACTGAGCTCAAATAGCACTTGCCATACAAGTTTTATTCCTTCACTATTTCGAATTCAGCACCAATTGGTAGATGATCACTTGGATGACTTAAGTTTGGCAGTCCACCAGCAATATCTGCCGCTTCGGAGTCTGGAAGCTCAAGATAACTAATTGGTTTCATATAGTCAGAGGGGCAACATAATATATAATCGAGTGTTCCGGTGAAGCCAGGTGTATAGTTTGTAAATGGTGGCTCTCCTCTAGTAGAAGCATAGACACTACTTAGAGGAATGGGAAGCTCCTCTATACAGTCAGTTATCAGTTCTGATGAAGGGTTGCCTGATATGAGGTACTGATAAACCTGTAAAACATGAGAAATCAAACAGGTTAGTAAAATCTGACTCAACTTATGAAAGGCACGAGGACAAAAGAATCTAAACGAAAATAAGAAATGGGCAACTTAAGATTTTAGAAATGCCAGGTACCGGATCTCCTGGCTGAGAGTTGAAATCACCGGCCACAATCACTTCAGGTGTGCATTCAAATCTATCAGACACCAGTGTTTTAAACTGTGACAGGCGAGATAGAAGATATTTAGCTTGTGCAAGTTTGACATCAGCCCACTCAGGATTCCTGATACAGAAATTTGTATTTAATTTATAAATTTTACAGCTAAAGTTATGCAAAACAATATTCACATAACTCAATCCACACTGAGCCAAAAATTCATTTCAATTCAACAGATGAGAAAGAACAAACACGGAAGTCGCTTCATTACCAATAAATATGTGTGTTGGCTACAATAAGAAACTGATGAGGGGGACCTTTGAATTTGAATGCAGCAAGAATTCCAACACAATCACGCTTTAGTCTCACACGAGGATCATTCGGATCTCCACGATCTTCTGTACCCGATTTAGGTCCTGCATCAGAAAACCAGTTAATGAAGTAGAATGCTCATAAGTCTGTACAAGTAACAGAAAAATCTCATTTTCTGTTCTAAAGCATTCAAAGAAGCAAAATATACTAGAGAGGAAAAAAAACAAAAGAAAATGTATCCAGGGAAGGAAAGCAAGAGTACAGCAGCAATATCAATGAAGTAACAGAAAGTAAGTTTTGATTTCGCAAGTTTATCAAAAAAGTATATAACACTACAAAAGTACAAGCTCAAGAATAATAAAGATGTGAAAATTCTTGTTACTAAGAATAGAATTATATATAATAAACAGAATCATTTTATTTCAATCTGCATTTACCAGTATTGGTCGCAACATCCTTTTGTTTATCTAGCTGGGTTGTTTTGACATTGTTGTGTTCATCGTCATTTGAAGAGTTCCCGTCTGGAATTGTCTTTACAAGATCATTGTATTCAATTTTTTCCTCCAAGACCAACTCTGCACTAAACAGCACAGGGTTAAGATAAACTTCAATAGAAATTATATGTAACAGACTGAAATAGCATTAATGAAGATTTAATGATATTCGTTCCATTGTTTTGGAAAATGAAAAAAAAAAATGCAACATCTAACCCCAAAAGGTGAGAAGGGAAAGACAGAGGACAGAAAAAGATAATGTAGTTGCCCCGAATACCAAGAGTGTCATTACCTATACCAGCCGCTTTGTGGCGCCGTTATAACATGTTATGACGGAAAACCCCGCAATATCAGCCGATATTTACCATTGTGGCGAGCCCAAAAAACGCCATGTATATCCACAATTGCGGATATTTGATAACACTGAACACTATTTACATCATACTCTAGCTTACATGGGACTCTAGCTTACACTTTGTATTGGACATTCGTAACATCGATCAAGGGGGTGGAATGACAAGGATCCCAACACATCCCTTCAACTACAAGACTGGACATATGAAGCATGAACAAATGCAGGTGGAATAATAGAAAATATTTGCCAAATAATTGATCAATAATAAGCTCTAATACTATCTTATAATTTGAGTTTATATCTAACTTAAACCTACAAAATCGGCTTATAAGGCGAGGACATCTCAAGTCTTATAAACACTGCTTAAACCATATCTTTAGTCAACGAGAGATTCTCAACAGTTTTAAACCACACTCGCAGACGCATTACAAACCTCGATATTGCATAAAATTACGATGAAATAAAACTAATGGAGCCGCAAGAAGAGACATCAAAAACCATGACATCCAGATCCACACCATTTATATCTCCAGTAACTTTACGCAAAATATCCCTTATAAACCGCTCTATGTAAAACTACAATTTTATCTGAGTATTGCAAAAAAAAGTTGTACGCACAGTTCATCCTTGTAAAATATCCCACATCCATCACGCTTTTTCTCTCCACTCCTCTTCATATAAATTGAAGAATATCCCAACTCATGCATCTTTCCTTTGTAAAAGCTATCAAATTCATCAAGTTCCTGAAATAAATAAATAAATCAACCCAACAAAGAACACTATTCAAAAGAAAGTAACCAACTAGCCAAAACTCAACACAAAATTTGAAATCAAATAAAAGAAAAAAAAACCTGCAGACAGAAAAAATCAGCTCCCAAGTTCTTAAGAACATCTAAAATCGAGTTCGAACGACGATTCCATCTGAAGTAAGAAAAATCAATAATTACAGTTAAAAATCAAT